GTCCATAGTTTCTCACCTCAGATCCAGATAGGAGAGCATGTTCTCGGGACCCCCCTGGATGCCCTGACCGGTAACACAGTAGAATCGGTTGGTTGCCGGGGGCGACAGGGATGCTTGGCGTGACATCACCAGAGGGTGAGGCTCAGCACGGCCATGCTTGGTCAGGGCAAAGAATGTGGGGGTTACATAGGAGCTGGCGTAGACGAAGCCCCTAACGACCTGACAGGGGCCCGATACGGGCGGACTGCCTGTACCCCCTAATGGCGGCTCTCAACAACCCTCAGGCCACAAAAACCCTTTAGAGAAAAGCGAGCCAAGCTTTGACCCTCCAGCTGTGGTGGAACTGCAAGCCCCATGAGGCATTGCAAGATTCTCACAGCCACAGGCATGACTCCCAGAGAGAGATGCATCATGGGATTTTCAGTTCCACTAGGGTTGCCACCTTTTCTTCAAGCGAAACCCGAACACTCTAGAGACGCACAGGCAATTTTTGGGGAAAATTAGTCGTGGCTTATTCATATCTAAATAGCACCACCCATTCATATGCAAATATTACAGGTGAGACTATTTTCAGTGGGGGGCCAGTAGCCCCTATCTTAATTTTGGTTGCCCCCGTCTGCCCGACATCTTGTGTCCAGATTTCTGCTGCCAGGAAACCCGAACAGAGCATTCAAAACCCGAACTGTCCGGGTGAATCCTGGACAGGTGGCAACCCTAAGTTCCACCGCAGCTGGAGGGCCGGAGTTTGGCTACCCCTGCTTTATTGAAAGGTGAGCCAAACTTCGGCCTTCCATCTGTGGTGGAACTACAAGTCCCACGAGGCACTGCAAGACTCTGCCAGCCACAGGCATGACTCCCAGAGAGAGATGCATCATGGGATTTGTAGTTTGTCTGCAGCTGGAGTTTGGCTACGCCTTGATTCAGAAGGCGCAAAAAAAAATGGACTGTAAAGTAATAATTTGTTTTTTGTACACTTTTACGTTCAGTTATAACACGCTCGCCATAAGGTCACATGTTCAATAAGGTCACATGGTCACATGCGCACAATTGTTCCTGGCGCACAAACATCAATGTTATGGATTTATTACGGCCCCAGACTGACTCGTGACACTTTATTCAGCATTTTATGTTTACCTTCACTATAAACAAACACGTTTACATGAGGTGAATCCACCACACAGCCATTTCCAGGGATAGACATCTCAAGGCCAGGACTAGCCCTGAGAATCTAGGCCAGGCATCAAATTTGCTCTCCATCAGCTAATTACTGAAACACTATTAAAAAATGAGGACCAAAAACTAAATAAAGCTAAAAAACGAAATGAAATGTAAAAAAAATCCGACATTTATCTACACCCTTCATCACGTGAAATGAGTGTACAATGATGGCGGATGAGTCCCCTCCCTATTCTGACCGCCCTAACTGCTTGGGACTCTCGGAACGCTCTCCAGAGAGAAGACATTTTGCCAAAGTACCTCCTTCGTCGGAAAGTACAGCTGTCAGAATGGCGCCGCCCTTTACAAGCGGACCGGCGTGTTCAATACATAGTTCCCTCTAGTGCCGAGGAGCGCACGCAGGGATTGGTCCTTTTCACACAACGTGTATCCTAGCAGATTGTCATTTTGCGCAGCGCTGAGAGTAGCAAGATGGCGGCGGTTCAGATTAGTGTAAAAATTAAGCTAAAGCGCTTGAGTAGCAAGATGGTGGACGGTGGTTTCCAAGGAGACGCCCGCGTTCCGCTGCAGAGTCTGTAATAGAAACGGGTGAGAGGAGGAGAGCGGGTGAGAGTACAGTATAGCGGGTGTAATACAGGGGGGGCTCTGATTACCGTATGGGACGGTACAGGGGCGCGCCATGTCTGTGGGGGTCAGGAGGAGAATATCTGATGAGACTGGAAGGAGAAGGATCATTGTAATATACGTGGAGGAGATTTACTATATACATAGTAGCTGTGATGAAACTACAAATCCCATCATGCATCTGTCTCTAGGAGTATACTAAATATAAAAACCCCAACGCACCTCCGGCGGCAACGTACTCCACCGCGGGGGCAACGGGCTCCACCACGGGGCAATGTGCTGTACATTCTGCTTTGGGTATATTTGGGGTCACCGCACGCTGTGTGCAGTTGCTGAGCGGCCGCCATTCCCGGGCTGGCGGGATACCGATGAGGGGACAGGGGCGGAGCGCCATTGGTGGTGGTTTCTGGTACCTCTGGATGCAGCTGGTTGATGACTGAGTACACCGGAGCCGACCGCCGACCCCAATGTAGAAGTTCCTTCAGATTCAGCCGTGTCCTCCACTGCTGTCCATGGGCCCCTCCCCCTCCCGTTACATGCTGGTTGGTGACTATAACGGAGATTGTGATGTCTCCATGACAACTTTATTCTTCCTTCTCAGGTATCTGTACGTCACCCGAGGCCGACTCCGGAGCCGGGAGACAGAGCTCCAGGTGCTGTATATACAGGTACTGAGTGTTCCCCGGATGATCAGGAGGGCCTAGGCTCAGGAAGTGCGCCAATATCAGGAGGGCCTAGGCTCAGGAAGTGCGCCAATATCAGGAGGGCCTAGGCTCATGAAGTGCGCCAATATCAGGAGGGCCTGGGCTCAGGAAGTGCGCCAATATCAGGAGGGCCTAGGCTCAGGAAGTGCGCCAATATCAGGAGGGCCTAGGCTCAGGAAGTGCGCCAATATCAGGAGGGCCTAGGCTCAGGAAGTGCGCCAATATCAGGAGGGCCTAGGCACAGGAAGTGCGCCAATATCAGGATGGCCTAGACGCAGGAAGTGCCCCAATATCAGGAGGGTCTAAGCACAGGAAGTGCTCCAATATCAGGGGGGCCTAAACACAGGAAGTGCGCCAATATCAGGATGGCCTAGACGCAGGAAGTGCCCCAATATCAGGGGGGCCTAAGCACAGGAAGTGCGCCAATATCAGGATGGCCTAGACGCAGGAAGTGCTCCAATATCAGGAGGGCCTAAGCACAGGAAGTGCCCCAATATCAGGAGGGCCTAAGCACAGGAAGTGCTCCAATATCAGGAGGGCCTAAGCACAGGAAGTGCCCCAATAACAAGGGGGTCTAGGCACAGGAAGTGCTCCAATATCAGGAGGGCCTAAGCACAGGAAGTGCGGCCAATATCAGGGGAGCCTAGGCACAGAAAGTGCTCCAATATCAGGGGGGCCTAGGCACAGGAAGTGCTCCAATATCAGGAGGGCCTAAGCACAGGAAGTGCGCCAATATCAGGGGGTCCTAGGCACAGGAAGTGCCCCAATATCAGGAGGGCCTAGACGTCTTCCTTCATCTCCCTCAATGATTTCCTTTCTTTCCACAGAATGTCCGCATGTGAAGAAGAGAGTGCCGTTCCGGCTCACCGGGCCCCTCAGCCCGTCCCACTGGGCCCCGATCTGGCTCAGGCTCACCCACTATTGGACATCACCTTGACACCAGACAAAGGTGGAGGGATACTGCGCCGGGAGCCCTCCGGGCGGAAGAAGGGGCCGCGGCAGGTGAGGCTATTGGTGTTTATTTCACGGATTGGCTGAGGCTGCCTCACGGTCACTAGCTCCGCCCCCTCCCCCAAGAGCCCCGGCCTATTTTATTGCTTATTCCCCCAGGTTCGCTTTGACGTAGATGAAGAGGCGTCAGGCAGAGAGGAGGCCGCCCTCGCAGCTCCCAGAATGCACAGCAGCGAGGTCCTGAAGCAAGAAGTGCGGGTTCAGGCGCGGCGGGAGTTTGACGCCGAGAGCGCAGTGCAGAGCGAGCTAAGTCGATCGTATCGAGTAAAGCGCAATGTAGAGAGTGAATCAGGAAGTGCGCCAATATCAGGAGGGCCTAGGCTCAGGAAGTGCGCCAATATCAGGAGGGCCTAGGCACAGGAAGTGCGCCAATATCAGGAGGGCCTAGGCTCAGGAAGTGCGCCAATATCAGGAGGGCCTAGGCTCAGGAAGTGCGCCAATATCAGGAGGGCCTAGGCTCAGGAAGTGCGCCAATATCAGGAGGGCCTAGGCACAGGAAGTGCGCCAATATAAGGATGGCCTAGACGCAGGAAGTGCCCCAATATCAGGAGGGTCTAAGCACAGGAAGTGCTCCAATATCAGGGGGGCCTAAACACAGGAAGTGCGCCAATATCAGGATGGCCTAGACGCAGGAAGTGCCCCAATATCAGGAGGGTCTAAGCACAGGAAGTGCTCCAATATCAGGAGGGCCTAAACACAGGAAGTGCGCCAATATCAGGATGGCCTAGACGCAGGAAGTGCCCCAATATCAGGGGGGCCTAAGCACAGGAAGTGCGCCAATATCAGGATGGCCTAGACGCAGGAAGTGCTCCAATATCAGGAGGGCCTAAGCACAGGAAGTGCCCCAATATCAGGAGGGCCTAAGCACAGGAAGTGCTCCAATATCAGGAGGGCCTAAGCACAGGAAGTGCCCCAATAACAAGGGGGTCTAGGCACAGGAAGTGCTCCAATATCAGGAGGGCCTAAGCACAGGAAGTGCGGCCAATATCAGGGGAGCCTAGGCACAGAAAGTGCTCCAATATCAGGGGGGCCTAGGCACAGGAAGTGCTCCAATATCAGGAGGGCCTAAGCACAGGAAGTGCGCCAATATCAGGGGGGCCTAGGCACAGGAAGTGCTCCAATATCAGGAGGGCCTAAGCACAGGAAGTGCGCCAATATCAGGGGGGCCTAGGCACAGGAAGTGCCCCAATATCAGGAGGGCCTAGACGTCTTCCTTCATCTCCCTCAATGATTTCCTTTCTTTCCACAGAATGTCCGCATGTGAAGAAGAGAGTGCCGTTCCGGCTCACCGGGCCCCTCAGCCCGTCCCACTGGGCCCCGATCTGGCTCAGGCTCACCCACTATTGGACATCACCTTGACACCAGACAAAGGTGGAGGGATACTGCGCCGGGAGCCCTCCGGGCGGAAGAAGGGGCCGCGGCAGGTGAGGCTATTGGTGTTTATTTCACGGATTGGCTGAGGCTGCCTCACGGTCACTAGCTCCGCCCCCTCCCCCAAGAGCCCCGGCCTATTTTATTGCTTATTCCCCCAGGTTCGCTTTGACGTAGATGAAGAGGCGTCAGGCAGAGAGGAGGCCGCCCTCGCAGCTCCCAGAATGCACAGCAGCGAGGTCCTGAAGCAAGAAGTGCGGGTTCAGGCGCGGCGGGAGTTTGACGCCGAGAGCGCAGTGCAGAGCGAGCTAAGTCGATCGTATCGAGTAAAGCGCAATGTAGAGAGTGAAGCGTTCAGAGGTGAGAAGGGGGGGGGGAGTGAGATGATTGGCTGGTGGGAGTGGGAGGGGCCTGCATCCCTCTA